AGTGGTCATGATGAACAGGGGGAGGGGGAGCTTTTGGCTCTCAAGTAGGTTTTCTGTCATCTGCCTCATCCTAGAACCCCGCCTGGGGGTCCTCCCTGAGTTCTGTTTGAGTTGGTTTCCTCTTGTGTTCATTGCCGCCTTCATCTCTGGTTTGTTTTTTTCCCCCTGAAAACCATCCATGAGAAGTACTTTTGATTTCCTGGTTACCCTCTCCCCCTTCATTAGCGTGCCCTGTTTGGACCATCATTGCAGCTAGCTGGTGAGCGGACCGACAGCGTGCTCTGGGAAGATGGTCACGATTCTCATGGTGTCTTCCGTCTGCAGGGGACTTGGGGGTGTTAGAAGGTTGCTCACCATCTAGGTTGCTGTCGGCAGGCTGTAAAGGAGCAGTGTCCAAGCTTCTCTGCACAAGTCTTAGTTTCCATTTCTGAGACTTTAGTTATTAATGACAGTTCACCTTTGACCAGAAAGTGCTGAGGTGGGACCCCTCAGGATAAGGGGTGAATGACTTCCCAAAGGATCGGCTTCAAGTAACCATTTGTGACATTTTTGGTGTTAGTCACCGAGAGGGGCTAGCCTGGAATAGATTGTCATGCACATGTGTGCACCCGTGTATCTGCACAGGGGGGTGGGTACCCCTTGCCACTCAGCTGCTTCTCTCGATTTGCTCAAATTTCATTCCATTTGCTAGCAGGACATCTGCACATTTTCCTGCCCAGCCACATTTAATGCACATCAGTTCAGCCCTAAGCCTCTGCTGAGGTCACTGCCCGCCCCCCCCAGGCATCCCAAGGGGTTAGAACTAAGGACACACAATCCTCTAAGTGGAATACTGAAGATCCCCATCTGTCTGGCAGTCCCGATCAATAAATGTGAGCTGTCCTTCCTTCCCAGTTCCGTACAAGAGAGACGTCACCACCTGCTTTAAAGACAAGCAAGCGTGCCATGTGGGTTTCTGAGGGCTCCCAAGTCCAAGCACCCAGCTGTCACAGAGCTCAGCCAAGAAGAAGATTATGCTCTTAATCACGTTATTTTGTTACTGAAACATTCTCTTAAATTGCACTCACCCCTTTCCCTCAAGCAGAATCTTCCAGGGGCTGAAATTGCAGGTGCCTTTCTGATGCTCTGATTTCACTTGCTGAGTGACTCTCTTGGGAAGAGCTTTGTTCTGGTTCTGGGGCATCTTGCTTGGCTTCTGCCAACTTAGAAGGCTGGGCTGCGAGACCAGTTGAGTGCATGTGACAGAGCGCTAGAGGACAGGCATACCCAAGAGCCACGGAGCCTGTTGTCTGATTTGGGACAGTCCCTCTTCAGGACCAGCAACTGAAAAGTGCCTTGCAGAAGCCTTCAACCCTGTAACAAACAAGCAAGTGTAGCAAATTGAAAAGCCTGGTTGTCTACGCAGGGGTGTCCTTGGGGCCACAGCTGAAGCAGACTGTCACCTCTTCCCAGACCAGAACAAACCTGACTTAACAAAGGCCCCTGTAATACCAGGTGTCAGGTGGCACTGAGCGACTGTCTACTCTACTTCACACCAGTGAGATTTGAGCTGCTGTCTCCCACCCCCCCCCCGGACCCCGCGTCTCAGCCCAGGTGAAGGAACAGGGCGCCCAGCTGGAGAGGGGTGAGGTATGTGGGAAAGGAGGGTTGAGTGAGTGGAGATGAGTCTGGGGCAGAGGGGCTGTGGGGCCCCCTCGCTCATGTAGCTCTCAGGATACGAGTGAATGGAGGAAGAGACCACGGATATGTGAGCGGTGGACAAGTCCCTTCCCTCAGTGGATCTCAGCCTCTCCTCTTTTTAAAAACGGTAGGCTCGGAGTAGCTCTGCATTTCCTGCTGTGCCCTAGATATACGGAGGTCAGGCAAGACATCAGCCACATGAGAAGGCCAACAGGATGACTGCAGCTGATTCCGTTGTTTCCTAAAGAATCGACAGTGGAGTGGTATGTCCCCTTGTGTTGCTCCGATCTCCGCGGCCTGCCGTGGCCCCATTGCCTGGCAGCCCACGGCCTCTCCAGAACCAGTCTGTTTTCTACGTTACTGCCAGGCAGCTCTCCAACACTGCTCATCAGTTAGGGCCTGGGCCCTAGTAGCCAGGCTAAGCCTGAAGCTACAGGTTAAGCCTGAGCTCTTTCTCCTGGCTGCCTCGCCAGGTTCTCTGAGACCCTAGGCACGTGTCACTCTGGACCTTCTGTTTCCTTACCCGAGCACAGCTGGTGCTTTTGCACACTGCAGCCCTGCCTGGGATGGCTGTCCAGAACTCACTCTCCGTGAATCCCCTCAAACCTCTGGCCCCAAATCTTGGGGGCACTTGTTCCCACCTCTGGGTGCAACTACGGAGACCATGTCAACCTCTTGTAACGAGGAGGCAGGAAGTACTCCAGTTGAATTGTGCTTGATAATGCCGAGCCCTTTGTGTGAATTCAAGCAATAGCACTGGGTTGACTTGTCAGAAGGTGATTGGGCCACTGTAGCTGTGCGGTTAGGCTTAACCCACAGCTGCCCACACCCTAATGATAAAACATTAAAAAATGAAAACTGTGTCAGAAGGCCAAAGGTAAAATACTGTCACGGAGGACTTTTTCAAGTAACTGTTTTAAGAATGCCCGAGAGGCTGTGCTGGTGGCGCAGCGGGTTAAAGCACAGCACTAAGAAGCTAAAGCCACTCACTGCCTACCCCCGTGGTGACTCACTTGGCACGGCAGACCTCTCCTGACCTGCCCGCTGCTCCCCTCAACAATGTACTTCATCAGTCGGCCTGTTGTGATCCCCACTCTGTCTCTGGTGAATCCTCTCACTGCCCCTGCACCTCTGGCCTGTACCCCAGCTCTGTATGCATAAATAAATCAATCTAAAAAAAAAATGCCCGAGGGGGAGCACTGATCGAGCCATTTCAGAGCGCTGTGCTACAAAATAAAACTCAAGTGCTGAATCCGATGTACCTCCAACCATGTCTTCTGCGTTACGAGATAAATGCTAACAAGGAGTAAAATCCAGCACCCTACACCTTATTAATATGTAAAAAGGCTGAAGTCACATCTGTGCAAGCATCTATTTTTAGTGGACCCTACATACTAAAATCCTAGCCTTGATCTCTTACACTATCAAGCCTGCCATAAATGTTTGATGACGAACAAGCCCATAAAAAGAAAATGCATAAAATGAATAGAAGAAGTCAGTGCGTGCTCTGCCTTTTAATTACTGCTTCAGTACGGCTCCACCATGGGTGCAGGCAGAAAAAACATCAAAGTTGCGTGTGGGGGGTGGTGTTTGGGGGGCTACAGGGTTTACTGCAAACAGTTAGGCCTCATTATTTTGTTATTTTTATTTGAGGCCAGCTAGAGATGGAGGAAGAGGAGCGTCTTACTCAAAAAGGGCAAGGGGCTAAAAAAAAGGAAACATGAAGAGATGAATAAAAGCATTCAGGACACACAAAAATAATGTAGAACAGTCTTGTTTTTATTACTTTTAAGTAATAAAGAGCCTTTTCCTTGCTTTTTTTTTCTTTTTCTTTTTTTTTTTTCCTTTTTTACAACATACATTAAGTTGTGAATCAGATGTTAGGGGATGTAGAGATGGAAGGAAGTTGGTGACATCACAATATTTTTACAACTTTACAACAAATATAAATCTGAGTTTGTTGCATCTACCAGTGTCTAGCAAGGGTGGAAAGCAAAGGCACACTCAGGTTTATGGGCCCTCCCCATACACAGTGGGGAAAAAAGAAGAGGGGAAAAATACTTAAATGCAGAAGCCCAGCTCAATGCATGGGTTAACACCGCAAGTGGTGGCTTGTGGGAAGTCGGGCGTGGGGTGCACGTTTTGACAGGTCTCAACATGGCCAAGGCGAGGCCGCCGCAGGGCACAGCGGCGGGCGCTTGCTGTCTGTCACTCTTCCTTGGGGTCCTCCTGGGGTGCTTGGGGCACAGGGAGATGTCCCCACCCCTTCCTCTGTTTGCATTTGAAAAGAAAAGGGAAATACAACGGTATCTCAGGGTCTAGGACAGACTTCATGGTTTCAGGGCACAGAGTTCACAGGATGTGAACACTGATGCCACTAACCAAACAAAGCAAACAAAACAAAAACATGACACAAAACAACAGAGCCTAGCCCAAACGACAGGGCAGGGCTGCAAGGGATGCTGGAACATCAGCAGAAGGCCGTGCGCCTGGTCACACACCCAGGCTCCGCGTGACTGGTGGATCCCTTTGCATTACCCAGTGCAAAGCTGTCTCTTTGGAAGGCTTTTTTTTTTTTTTTAATTAAACAACAACAACAACAAAAAAAACTAAACTAAGCCCACAAGAGCAAACTGGAAATAGAAAGAGACAAAGAGGCACCCAGTATACTGTTTAACTGTTTAAAAAATACAATAACAAGCAACAACAATGCTCATAGATTACAGTATGTTGACAGTTCTTTTGTTCGGGATAGAGTAAACAAGAATCCCTCTGTGTGCTTGAGCTAATGAAAACCGAGGGGAGAAAAACACACACCCCAGTCCGCCCCCCCCAACAAACAATAACAAAAGGATAAAGAAATTTTTCAAAAAAGTTAAAAATCTTTGCCCCCAATTTTTACCATGTCCACCGTGGCCGGCCTTGCACTTGGAGTGACTGATGAATCACAGCAGGGACCAGCCTGCCTGCATCCATTGCCATGCCATTTCTTTGTGTGCATGGCACATGTGTGCCAAGCACACGGCTTGGAGACTCCGCCCAGCGCCTGCCACACAGCGTGTCCTCCAGCAGATGGACACAGCAGAAAGGAAGACTGGGCTATTAGTCCCGCCCTCCTTCCACTGGTTAACACGAGAATATCACCATGCCGAAATGATCTGAGAACAGAAAGGGAAGCAGGGAGCTCTGGAGGAAGAAAGGGGACCTGCCATCCACAACACTGGGGTCCATGCTTGGCGGCACGGGCAGAGGATGGTTCAAGTTGGCACAACTAGAAGGAAGTGTGAACTGGAGGGTGTGATGTGACCCGGCTTTCCCAGGCTGTGGGATTTAACCATCACCACTGCCTTCTTCCATCTGCTGGACGCTGATCTTCCAGTGGGCTGGAGCAAGGGTGGGGGGAGGGAGCATTAAATAAATATCGGCATTTATTTCAAAAGGGGAAAAAGTTTATCATCATGACAGTTTACAAGCATACACAACTCAGGGTGTAAGGCACAAATTTACATGTGGAAAACAGGCTATTCACAGATGTAATCCCACGAAAAACCCGTGTGATCAAACCATTGATTTATGCAAGGTAGCAGCCAGCATATTAATTAGTTCACACCGTTTGTGGATTTTGTTTGCTGTCTCACATGCAAGGTGAAATGAGATGGTGTATCACGAGCTGTGTGCCTTCAGAAAGTAGGAACCACTGGCAAAGCACATGAGCAGCAGTGGGGCACGGATGTGCCACCCTAAAAGTTCCTGTCCCGGTTGCTTTAGAAATTCGGCTCTGGAAGGACTTTTACCCTATTACTATTGTTTTCTTTTTGCATGTTATAGGCCAGAAATCTGGCCATCAAATTAACTGGTAGATTTAAATAAACATTCCCCTCTTAACCTTTTCCTTTAGCTAGAGATCAGAGAGTCCAAACACAAAGCTCAGAATTCCAGCTCCAACTTAATTACTCAGTGAATTTATTGTAAAAATAAAGAAACTCAATTATTCCAGTTAATGGATTTCACGTTAAATAGTTTTAAGTTTTTCAGTGGACTTTCTGAAGAGCTGTTCTTAAGATAGCATGTGGAAGAGTCCTTTCAGGAAAAACAAGAGTGAACAATAAATAAAGAGTTACTTGCGTTAACGGTCACGTTATTTCATTAAAAGAAGGAGCAGAAACCTATGACATCGTGGCCCAACTGGCATCGTCTGCTAGAACAGAAAGCTGTAACACTGGTGGGCATTTCACAGTATCTGCGCATAGTAAACTTCTGCCATTGTTAAAGTCTGAGTTAGAATTATCAATGAATTCTTTATTTTTTTGTCTTTAATTTTCATCATTTTTAAAAAAGGTGTCTGTTTTGAGGGTGGGAAGGCTGGCCCAGTGTGGCAGCACCCCCGTGCAGTCAAGGACAAGATGTTGCAGTTACTGTTCACCTCTGTGTGTGTGTGTGTGTGTGTGTGTACACGCGTGTGAGTACACACACGTGTGTGGGGTGGGTGGGTATGTGCTTTTGGCTCATGTTTGTGATGATAACTTAAGTCTTTCGTGAGTCCAACCTGTTGTAGGGTGTAAGGGGAGAGAGGGAAGAGATGGAGGTGAGTCCGTTGCAAACTTTCACCAAAGCGCTGGGCCTGATGTTCACGAGCACCCCTGTGTCCGGGAGAGATGGACCCGGAGGCCTCGGCGCAGTCTGGCCGTCCTGGGCTGGCGGGTACTCGGGTGCCAAGCTGAGCGGGCAACTCGCCTTTCCTGCTGGTTCGACCCCGGCCCCTCCCCCTGGGATTATGTACACGCGTCGTTAGGCTTCAGGGATGTGGAAAGGGGAGCAAAGGAAGGTTTGGGGGGGACGTCCGGCTTTAACGAGGGCGTGCGCTTCAGGCCCGACCTGCTCAGTGAGTTGTAGGCGTTGAGGCTGGGCTGCCTCGACACAGTCACCGCCTGGCCCGACGGCTGCGAGCTGTGCACCTGGATAGAGTCCACCCTCTGCGGGGCGGGGGGCGGGTTGTCTCCCCGGCCAAAGCTCTGGTTTCTGGAGAGGTGGGAGGAGTTGGAGGAGTTAGTGTTATTTCTTTTGAGCGTGGTGGCCGGGTGGCTTCTCGTGAGCGAGTTCGTGGGGTAGCTGCGTTTATAGTCCAGCCCGTAGGAGGAGGAGTGGTGCATCTCCAGTCGCTTGCTCAGGCCGTTCTGAGACAGGGAGGCCCCCGGAGGGCCCAGGGAGGCCTCCCGCTGTGGGACTTTGGGGGGCAGGCTGTCCAGGTTCTCCACCAGGTTGACCCCATGGTTAGGACTCTTGCTGCTGAGATGCTCCTTGATGGTCTTGTACTCCAGGGTGGCGGCCTGGTCCTCCAGCGCCATCTGGGCCACCTCGCTCATTTTGGGCTGGTCCACGTACTCGTGCTGGTAGCCCTGCTGCGTGATGGGCAGGACTACCACGCTGGGGATGTGGCTGGGGGAGGCCCGGAGGGGCAAGTCCGTGGGGATCACAGGGGAGCCCATGGGGGGCATGTCCTTGGTGCAGGCATTGATGAGGTTCTGGTTCCGCTCCCACTCGCGGCTGCCCCGGCTGGGCTTGCGCTTCTGCTGCAGCGTCGGGGTGGACTCGGGGGTGGGCAGGGCTGCCAGGTCGAGGTGGTGCTGGTCAGCCTTGATGAGCATCTTGGCCGTGTTGCTGGGCGTGGCCAGCTTGCCGTTGTGCATGAGAGGCGTGAGGATGGCCTCCGGCTTGGGGTCCTTAGACTGCGCGTCCCCAAAGAGGCCGCTGAGCTTGGTGACGCTGCTCATGGAGCCCCGGCGCGAGTGCGCCAGCTCCTTCTCCTTGCGCTGCACCGCCGACACGTCTTTGCGCCGGTGATCACAGACGCAGTAGACGATGATGCCCGAGAAGACAGCTCCCATGACAAAAGCCAGGATGACCGCGATGGCCAGGAGAGTGACAGGAACGAGCTGGTCATGGCCTTTGAGGTAACTTTCCCGAATCACTCCTGCAATAGACATCGCATAGGGCGTTAAGGAATGAAAGCACACCACAAGCCTTATTTTTGTTTGCCGTTCACCCTGTTAATTAGTAATAGTAGTAAGTGACGATAGCACCTCTTCAGGGCGCAGCGTGCCAAACATGGACTAATGAATCCTCAGTGCCCCCCAAGTATGTAATTGCACTCGTTTGTTGCCTTCTTTGTGTTTTGAAAAAGCTCTTTCCCTTTTCGCAGCTACATACTTTCTGCTTTGCTTTACCGTGTGGCTGAGGGCGGCACTTGGCTTCCAAAACGTCCCCCGCTTCATCTTTTTTTTTTTTTTTTCCTCAGTGTCCCATTCACAGAGTTGGGATGACTGAGATATTTTGAGTCGGGGGCAGAGGCAACAATTTGATGCCTGTTAAATGAACAAATCGCACAACTCTCCTGGAACCCAGGGTCTTTTTTTGATGACTTCCTTGTGGGCCCCATCACCCCTTGCTGGAGAAAAGCTCTGTTTGCATTTCCAGCAACTGGAGGAAAGTGAGTCTGACAATGCAAGAATACAGCTCACGTTCACAGATGGCAAATGTTTGAGCTGATTTTGTATTACCCCTCTAAGAAACAAGAACCACCTCTACTCAACCTGAGGTAAATGTGCTGAATGTTTGAGTGAAGCTCTCTTCTTCAGTTGAAGAGAGATTATTTGGGGGAACAGGGCTGGTGAGGGAAGACCATTTGGAGTCCTGTCTTGGATTTGACAGGTGTCAGGTCTCATTACTACAACTAGAGTTTGCTGTCAGGGTGAGATTCTTCAGCTGAGTTAATTTCTTCAATTTAATAAAAATTATGTGACTACACCCATCAATAATCTTATGCTACATTAAGCAAGATGCTGCTCAAGAAAGTCACTTTCCCTGTTCCTGCTTTATCAGCCACCAAGCTCAGAGACTCTAATCAACCGCAAACATGGAGCTCTTATTTTTTAATACCAAGTGAGAATACACATCACAATCATCAGATCTCAAGTGCTAGATGCGGTAGCTGAAAAATAAAGCCTCAGATACCTCACTTCCTGCCTCTGGAGAGTGAAGGACCATGAATACATGACAGGCACCGCCTGGGCTGAGGGCTGTAAACACTGCTCCTACTATGGAAAGGCGAGTAAGACAGAAAATGTACCTTCTCTGGCTTCCGGGGACACATTTTTCATCTACTCACTCAACTTTTTCTGGATATGTTTAATGTGTTTTACTGGCAGATATCAGTAGTGCAGACTTAGAATGAACTCAGAATAAAAATCTCCAACCCCTTCCCAGGCCCATACAGGCAACCCTGACACGTGGCTGAGACGCTTTCTGTGTCACAGCCGAGCGAGGCCTTGCCATGATGCAGCGCTGTCACGGGGTGTTCTGGAAGCTATTTTGATTAGCGAAACTGGTTTTAAAACTCAGAAGCCTTTGGCTGGGAGATTACATTCTCTTTTCTTTCTAAGCTGTCCTCCTTCCCTCCATTGTGACGTCACAGTCGGTTGCTGTGGCAATGATTGTCCAGTGACAGAGGATGTGACTTCAGGTGGAGACAAACAGAAAGAAGCACAAGCATGGCGGGAGGAGCAGAGATACTGTGATGAGACAAACGCCCTCAGTTAGGAAGGGCAAGCAGGGAAAGAGCGCGTAAGGCAGAAAGACGCTGAGTGATTGCCAAGTGTGACACTTTTCAAATATTTCCAGATTTATCTTTATGAACTTTTAAAGGGTAGAAACCGAGAAGCGAAAAGAACAGCAGGAAATTCAGCTATAACTCACACCTTTTATGTTTTGGAGCTCCCCAAACAGTGGGGCATCTGCATTCAAATATGCTTTAATACCTAGTCACCGAGAAGTGTGCTAATGAAAATTTCTCCCTTAAATTTGCATTTCCTTGTTGTAATGCTAAAATAGCAACTGATTTTCTTTCAACTTTGATTGTGTATGGAGTTCTATTGAACGTCATGTTTTACCACCTACACATAATGGCACAAAAATGTACACCTGTGAATAAAATGGGTTTGATTTCCTTCATTGACTTGGTGATTTCAGTGAGGTCTGACACAGGCTGGACCCCACCAACGGTGGGGATGGGGTGGATGCTTGCGCGGAAATGACAGTTTCGTGGCTCCCTTCCAGCTCACTGTATTTCTGGGAGCCTTCCCCCATCGGTGAGTACTTGTAAGTAGGTAGCTCTCTGCCAGTCTCAGCAGAACAAGCACATGGAAGCTCAGTGTCGCTCATTGTCTGTTTTATTCACTGATTGAGAAAGCGGCACCATTTTCATACTTAGCCATTGCTATTTCACTTTTTGCTCCCCAACACTCTTCTTTCATGGCTAAGAGTTCTTGACTATCTCACACTGACGGGAACCACTGCTCTCTTAACTAGGAAAAACTTTTAGTGGATGATGCTGCAGTTCAGATGTTTGGTTGTTGACAAATCAAGCGCGTGTCGGCTTGGAAGGAAAGGAGGTCTTAGCGGCCCCCTTTGGCTTCGACTGTAGTGCCTTGAGCACCTTACTGCGCGAGCAGCCTCGAGCCATTAGCCACGGGCAGGCGGCTTCCCTCACCTGCGGCTACACATCCAGAACCCCACATTCAAAGTCAGAAACAGAAACTCAGTTGAAAGCACCTCCAGGAAGTACATTTGCAATGTACATAGATGCATTTATATAATCTAATTATATAATCTGTACATCTAGGTAAATGCATGTAAATAAATGCCCCTTATATCATGAACAGGGCCAGAGCAGCAGCCCTAGAACTAAGGGAACCAGCACTGAGGTGTCGCTGCTGCCGCCTCCGACACACCAGCCGGTCGCTCGGGCCGGGCGGCATGTCAGAGGCGCCTGCTTACTGGTTGGGAGGCCCTTCAGCAAGGGACTCGACATCTTTGGGGCTCAGTCTTTTCACCTGTAATGTGGGCTCAGCCACACTCACTCTGACTCCTTACTGGTTTGCTCTCAGAATCCAATGGAAGGGTGAATAGGAAAGCGTGTCATTGCTTTAGTTTGTCGGACAAATCTGCAGGGCAAAGAAACCATAAAGAAAAGCCGGTGGTTGACCCAGAGCTTGGGGTGACAGTGACAGCTGCTGCACTGGATCCCATTAGCTGGGGGTCTTGAGGGAGAGGGACAGACCTGCCTCTCCTGTGCAGACCACGTTTTGCCAATGGGGCAGGGGGCGGGGTGGGGGAGGGTTAGGGAACAGGAGGGAACAGGTACCTGTGCTGCAGGACTGCCCCTGAGTTTTGAAGTTAGTAAAAGCAGGAAATGTTGAGCAAAAGCACAGTTAGAGTCAAATTCCTACTGGAGCAATAATCCTGCAGTCAGCTCGGTGAGGGCAGGGCTGGTGTTTTATCTGGGTTTGTGCCCCTTGCCAACTCCAAGGCTCTTGGGTGGGGACCTGATAAGTGAAAGATAGACAAGTAGGTCTTCCCCTTAGACTCTGGCAGCAGAAGGGTGCTCAGCAGAGGGGTGGCAGGCTGATATAGGTAGCGGGGCTGACCAGTGGGCGGTGACCGGACATTTGGAAGTGGCCTGCTGAGCTGAGACTGTGAACCTTAAACCTGGACAGTGCTATAAACCGATGTTGCCACAATTAAAACAAGGGCGTTTGCAAGACATTCTAGTGACATTTCTAAGCCGGTTCCTCAATTGGCGGGTCATCCCTGAGAGACCACAACAACCTTGCTTCTAAAGTCACCGCAACAAATTCTATTTCCTGTCCTATAACAGAAATTGAATCCCAGCATCCAGCAGACGAAAGAAATCTGTAAGGGTATTCAGGATTCGTTCAAAGCCATAATAAGAGAAACAGTGTAAAGATAAAAAGAAATTCATTCCAGATCATTCCAAAAGAGACAATGAGGGTCACAGGGTTGTTCCTAACACTCAGTGAGCCAATGGAATTAAATAATTTGAAACAAAGGCATCACTGCAGAGTGGCAGCAGGATGAACGTCCAGTGTGCCACACGGTGAATGGAAACCCTGGGGAAGTGGAAGGTGTTTGGGGGTGGGCAGAATCCCCTGGGACCCCTTGTAGAGGGCACAATCAAAGTGGCCTCTGCACCCTGGGGTGCTGGAATGCCTTCCTCTAGCAAGCCCCGGGCCTTTGCCCTCACCAGCTCAAAATGGGGCATTCATAATGCAAACAGCATCTGAAAAATCCTCTGCATTGATTCATTAACCAACAGCTATTTCTCACTCGTCATGAGGTGCTAAATGGTTATTCTTTCCACCTTCCTATTGCAGGAAGCAAGGCACACAATGGCTCGGAGATTTCTCTGAAATCATGCTTTAGATTGGCAGAACTGAGAAAGAATAGAATCACTGGTTTTGTTTTTTTTCTGAAGAGACAGTTTTTAGATATTGGAGGGAGTTTTCAGAAGGGCAATTCGAAGCTATCTACAGGCTGAAGCAATGAAAAGATTAGGAACAGCCCCGTCCTCCAGGCCCTGCAAGATGTAATTCAAAAATAAGGGCAATTGCAGAGTATAAAGTCAGGGAACGTTCAACACAGTTCTGATTATCTCTGTGAGGCCCATGTCAGTGCATTCAGAAATACAGACCTCAGCTTCTTCATCTGAAACACGGTTTCTCATCTCCTTGCTCAGTGATTCTCTGCGTGGCCTGGTCTGCATGGGGAGCCCAGCACCAGCAAAGGGGCCCTCCTGTGGAGGGCTAGACTGTGAATGTCTTGGTGCCTTTTTTTGCACTGTCCCGGTCTAGCAAGCTTTCAGTTCCAGGCAACTCTGCGGCTGGAGGGCTGGGCTGGGTGCTGGAGCTGGGTGACAGAGGCTCGGAAGCGGCCACCCAGCAGGACAGAAGCAGTGCCCATGCGCGAACGGCATCCAAAGAGTGAAGTGGCAAGAGCTACCAGGAGATATGTCGCTTCTGCTCCAGTCGTGGACAGAGCTTTAGAAGAGACGAGTGGAGAGGAGCCTGAAGGCTGTGCAGAATTCAGCTGGGATGGGGACAGCAATGAGAACGCAGG